ACCAATTTACATCACAATATCAAAATCACACATCTAATTATTTATCAATTACATAAACATTACATCATTAATTATTTAATTAACCAAAAAAATTACATCTTTATCAATAACAAATTAATTCTTAAACAAAACTATTAAATATAAATTAGGCAAACGTGCATTGCACGTTACTTGCACCTAATATTGTAGATAAGCATGCATTTGTCCACACTGACACCAACAAACCTCTTATTATTACATTATGGAATTCAATATATTTAGCTCGTCAATTTTTTAAATACATTCACAAATTATAGTTCCTGTTTGGTAGAGATTAAAATTAGATTTTTATCAGATTTTGATAAAAGTTGATGAAATGTGTAGTTAAAAAGTTGTATATCATATTAAATACGTGTTAAAATTAATAATTGACTTTGACTTAAATTTTAATCAGATTTTTTTTAGAGTCATCAAACAGGGTGATAATTATTGACTCTTGATATCTGCATTCAATTTCCACGATGAACACACCCTCATTAATAATAATCCAAGACAAATATTAACACACGTGACTTTACTCTATCGAGCAATAACTATAAAATGATTTTGATTGCCTGAGAAGGTGGAAAGAATCTCGCACAATCAAGCAAGCTCGCTAGAAACAACCTCGGCCACACAGTTAACATCCTCGTGTGTAGAAGCATAAGAATCACACGATGTAGATTGGTTTAAAGAACCGCCACGTTCTCAGACTACACATTTCATCATCTTCTATCAGAATCTATTAAAAATCTAATTTTAATCTCCATCAAACAGTGGCTAAATGTCACATGATGATAAATGCGTATTTTTAGATAATTTCAATAATATCTTTCCATAAATACGCATATTAAGAGTTTAGTTTAAAAATTCAAACAAAATTTAAGTCAAAATCAATAATGAATTATAGAATAATACTATTTATCGTTATGGTGATAAAATATTGGTGATGTTGCAGTTTATGTGAAATAATGTGATTATACAATTCAATTTTGATGAGAAAGAGGGAGGAGAGAGAGAAATATGAGGATGATGGATTGTCACATCACAAATATTTTATCATCATGATGATAAATATCATTACTCTTAATTATAACCACACATTTCATGAAATTTATTTTAACCACATATTTGATCTTTTTTTAAAAAAAAAAAACATGAACTTAGTGGAGTTGGTGCAACTTTTCAACTATTTGATGAAAGCCAAGAGACCTCCATTAATATTGAAATACAAATCAAATTTTATTAAGTGTGCATTTATCTGAGTGATGTTTATGTATTTTAATAATTCGAGATTAAGTCGTTGTTTGATTCCCATTATTTTAAAACTCATTTTTTTCGAACTCATTTTTAATTACACATTTTAAAATAAAATATTTTACACATAAATTTTAAAAAAAAAAATCATATTTTTTAACTACATATTTTTCATCAATTCACTATTACAAAACTCATTTTAACGAAATAATTCACATCAAACAGGGTCTAAGTGAATCTATACATCCACCAAATAAATAAGGATGATCATTTTGAGAGATGGGTTTAGTAATTGATACACGTGTGTTATAATAATTACATTCTTTGAAAATCCTACAAAAAATCACGTAATGTTCCACATGTCGTAAGAAGTAGAGAAAAGTAATTTTTTAAAATATGGAGGCTATGATCATTGACCTAATTTTACTTTTTCCTAAATTCTACATTTTGTCTCCGTTTTTCCTGCGATGGCGACACAAGAATCCTTGACAAACTAGAATTTTCCCCACTATGTGGTTCATTCGAATCATTCCAGTTCCTTTTTCTTCCGCACTATGATTTTGGAATTGTTCTTTTTATATTCTTATTAGCCCTTTTGAGTTAGTTTCATATTTTGTCACAACTTTTAGTAAAATCTTAATTGCACCACGCAACTTTAATTTGTCTCGAAGTTAGCAAACTTGCTTCTGATATTAGTCACCGTGTCAACTTCTGTTATTCTAAAACGTCAAACGTTTCCAGATAAATATTAATGGATTGTGCTAGATGTACACTCAATCCATTACCTAATGGATTACACCCCCCTCACATGGAGGGGGTCCATCGGGGGGTGTAATCCATTAGGTAATGGATTGTGTACATTTAGACTAATTCAATATTAATTCATCTGACGTATTTAGTCACAAACGAAGGACTAACGAAGGCATTGAAAATAAATTAAAGCTTAGTAATATGATTACGATAAATCAAAGTTGAGTTACCAAAACTGAAATTAACAGCATTTCTTTTTTTACTATTCAAGATTCTAGAAGAGAATAAATTTCAAAACAAATTCTAATTTCTGGTTCCAAAACTTTTCCATGGTCAAATCAACATAGCATACAATTCTTGAAAACGAAATACCAAAGAAGTTGGTGAATTCATGAGGAAATAAATCGTGTACCAGCCAATATCTTATTGTTCTTTTACATTAAATTTTTCTCTCTCTTCATTACAACCACACATTCATTAAATAAAATAATAATACACACAAATCTAAAACTTTTCATTACTTTTCCAACCACACATTCTCCCATCAATCACTATTCCAAAAATTTTCAACCATAAAAAATGCACGATAATGGGGACCAAACAGGGGCTTACAATTGATTAAAATTCACGTACAACAATTAAGTAGATATTATCTTTATTGATCTTGAAAATATTTGAATCGTCACCTAATCATAGCATAAGCGAAATAGTACTTACCAACGTATGTGACATGTTAAATGAAAATTTAAATAATTCCACCAACCGATTTTCCAACTATAATGTAAACGTCGCGACCACGTGAACCAACTTTTTCCTCATAAAAGTATCAAAGGCGAAATTTTCCTTATATAAGAAGGTCTTCAAACTAGTGCCATCTTACTTTCTCGTCGATTGAAAATCCCTCTCTACAGCAACTATCCTCAATTTCCACCATGGCCAATGCAGCCCTAAAACTCATTTCCACCATTTTTATACTTGTATTTCTTTCCAGCTTCATAATCCCGGGACGTAATTGTCAAGAATTTTCAAGAAAATTATCGAAGAAAGAATTTGGCCTCAAAAGAGAAAAACTAAGCCACCTCCACTTCTACTTCCATGACATAGTAAGCGGCCGAAATCCCACCGCCGTCCGTGTGGCTTCCGCCGCCATGACAAACACCTCCTCCAGCTTGTTCGGCGCGGTGGTGATGATGGACGATCCTTTGACAGTCGGACCAAACATGACCTCCAAACTTGTCGGAAGGGCACAAGGCATATATGCATCGGCGGATTTGAATGAACTCGGTCTTTTGATGGTTTTGAACTTTGCTTTTGTTGAAAGAAAGTACAATGGCAGTACCCTCAGCGTGTTGGGGCGGAACAAGGTGTTTTCCGCCGTGAGGGAGATGCCGATTGTAGGCGGAAGTGGGATTTTCCGATTTGCTCGTGGCTATGCTCTGGCAAAGACTCACTATGCTAATTTACAAACAGGGGATGCCATTGTAGAGTACAATGTCTATGTCTTTCACTATTGACCTATCCCTTGTGCAGCTACTGCCCTAAACACTGTTACAAGTGATTTTGCTAGTATTTTATGATGTTTTCAGAAGTGTAATGTTGTTTGCAATCTTTCACTGCTGTAATCGTCGTACGACAGTGAGCGGTTGCAAATAGCAAATTAGTTTTATAAATGTGCTTTGTACGTTGTTGTATGAGACATACTTCATGACTTTCATATTTTATAGTTGAAAAATATTCTCAATAAGTATGATTTTACTTTGTTTGGTAATAGCATAAGTGTTCATAAAGATCATACAAATAATAGATTCTACAAATATTTTAAGAAATTAATGAATTATTATCCTCGTAAAATGCACATTTCACCAAACATGCCCTAATCGAAAATTAACGATAGTAATAATTAATACAAAATGTGATTCACTTATTCGGTATAAAATGTATCGAGACATGTGAGAACCCTTTCTTTCATTTTTAAGGTTCTTTTCTTCAAGCTTGATCACTAATATTTTTGTTTACACGGCCAAGAAATACCATAAAATTGTCAAAGATCTAGAATTTGATTTGGTTTCAAGTCAATTTGGATTTCAAGCAAGAATTTTGACCGTCGAATTTTGTGGTGGAAAAGGTGACATTACAAACCCAACTACCCCTAAATTCCAACCACCTTCAATTTCAACATTTGGCAACGTACTAATGAATAAATGAGCAGGTAAAGGTACAGAAAATTTTGCACAAAAAAGCAGCAAAATCTGTGCGAAAAACCTGTTCTTATAGCATTTCTCCATATTAATTATTAAGCACATCTTCAAGTAGTACAAGGGGAAGGTGAAAAAAACTCCAACTTTGTTTGAGGCTGTCGCGTCAAGGGTTCGAATCTTGAAATATGGATTAGACCATTGAGTAAGTGCAAGTGTTTGGAGACATAATCTGTGATTTACCTCCTTCACCAAGGTCCGCACAGGACAAGTAGGGCCGCAAAGGATACGGTTCATCCTTTTTTTAGTAAGAATTTTTCCATATTAAAAAGTGACATTCAAGAATCCTTCTCTCTTTTTAATTTTTTTCGTGCTCATGATTAGATCTTTTAGTTAAAACCAGTGAAGAAGAATAAAAGCCCAATCCTAATACAAAAACAACGTAGTAGAGGAAATTAGATACGGTACTTCAAAAAGAAGAAAAAATTGATTAATACACTTAAATCAAATTAAAGTTTTAATAATTATATTAATTACGTCCACTAAAAATATAAAACATTTGAAAGTCAGCAAAATCATTCCAACCGCACTTCCCATATGATATTTTTCACTTTTTAATTTTTTTATTATTAAAAAGTTTTCGTTTGATAGGGTATTTTTTGTAACGATTATCTATTTTGTGCGATATAAAATTTGTTAGAAAACTTGCAATGTGAACATGATAAATATGTTATGACTTGTGCGATATAAAATTTGTTAGAAAACTTGCAATGTGAACATGATAAATATGTTATGAACGAAGTTTAAATGTTGAAAATTATTTTGAATGAATTATTGAATGCAAAATAAACCTTAATTATTAACTCTATTTCTTGCGACATTTTTTACTTGTTATTATGAACTCATCATCGTTTATCGATTTTTAAATTCGAAAGATGTATTTCAAAGTTTGTTATGAATATTTCGAAGCGAAAACAAAAACCTCACTCGACGAGCGAGTAAAATAGCCCATAAATAGGCCAAAACTTGTAACACCAAAACAAAAATTAAAAGAAAAATATCTAATTCAGTCACTTTTTCACTTTTCACAATCTCATTTTCGCAAAAATCTTGGATGCGTCAATTGAATTGGTTCAAACAATATTTGAATTCGTATATTTAAATTTTAAAAAACACATGTATGCATCAAGTTAACTATTCCATTGAGATGATGCGACTTTTTCAGAGAATGTCACTATTTCACATTTTCATTTTCGCAAATATCTTGGATGCATAAATTGAATTGATTCAAAAAAATATGAATTGAATGTAAAATTAAAACAAGATTTCAATTAGTATATTTAAATTTTCAAAAACACATGTGTATTCATCTAGTTAATTGTTTCAATGAGATGAATGTCACTTTTTCACATTTTCCTTTTCGCAAACATCTTACATACATCTATTGAATTGATTCAAAGTTAATTTTCATATGTATTAATATAAAATAAGATTTGAATTCATATATTAAATTTCAAAAAATGTACACATATGCATCTAGTTATTGCTCCAATGAGATATTGCGACTTTTTTTTTATTAAGAAAAAAGTGCAGAATACGATTTATTCCCATTTTTCACATTCTCCTTTTCGCAACCACTTTGCTTGCATCTATTGAATTGATTCAAAGTTAATTTTGCATATGTATAAACATAAAAATATGTTTGAATTCATTTATTTAAATTTCCAAAAATACAAACATATGTATCTAATTAATTGCTCCAATAAGATATTTTGACTTTTTTAGAACATAACCTTTTTACATTCTTTTCACAAACAACTTTTATGCATATATTGAATTGATTCAAATTTATTTTTTCATGTGTATTAATATAAAACAAGGTTTGGATTCGTTTATTTAAATTTCCAAAAATGAACAGATATGTATCTAATCAACTGCTGAAATACTTGACTTTTTTTTTTTTTTTTTAAGAAAAGTGATGGAATGTTACTTTTTCACATTCTACTTTTGAGCAAACACCTTATATGCATCAATTTAATTAATTCAAAGCTAAATTTTCAGGTGTATGCATAAAACAAGGTTTGATTTCGAATGTTTAAATTTCTAAAAACACACACATATGTATCTAGTTAATTACCGCAATAAAAAGTGACAGAACATCACTTTTTCATAGAAAAGTGATAGGCTGTCACATTTTCACATTCTCCTTTTTGTCAAACACCTTGCATGCAAAATTTCAATAGATTCAAAGTTAACTTTTCATACGTATTAACACAATCAATTTTCTCTCAAGTTCAATCATGTTATTTTCAAACATGCTTCCAATCACACTGAAATACCCGTCGTGCTTTAGATGTTAATTTCAAACACCTTTAATTTTTTGAGATTGGAGGCTGATTTTTACAAACAGTGTCCCTATTAGATTGAACATATTGAATAAAAAATCAAACAAACTGTAAATCTCAACATACTGAACATAAAAACCTAAACAACATCAAAATCAACCAAAATAAGAACACCGTGAATCAAAAATCAGAAATAATATGAACGTGGAGATTTGGATTGATTATTTATAGAATTGGTGAATTAAACTTTAAAGAAGATGTAGTTGAAACAACTCTTAATCTTGTCTGGTCTTAGATTTTGCTTGATTCGGAAGGAGTTGGAATTTTAGAGTTGCTCGAATTGATTCTTCATTTTGAAATTACCGTAATCTTTACAATTTATTGGTTTAAATTTACAGTTTTTGCTTTTTAATACATGTTTTTGATGATTTTTCAAAATGACCCTAAAAAAAGAGTATTTGTGTAAGTTCCCCAACGTAGTATCTAGAATAAAAGCCCAATCCTAATACAAAAACCATGTAGTATCTAGTGCTATTCAACTTTCATTACCAAATAATCATTTATGTTTTTATTAGTACAACTTTATGTTGAATTGTCTGAGTGAAAAATTATTTCGATTCTACATGACGGAATTGTCAAGGTACTGGAATGTTGTATTAACAAGATTCATCTTTTAAGATTGAACTCAAATCCCAGTACATATAAGCTTGATAGTTTTGTCACTGAAATTTTTACTTGGCTGCCTAAATGAATTAAAGATTTCTTCACTATGTTAGTTTAAGAGGGTAACTCCAATTAACCATTTATGAAAGGAAAAAATCATTTGTTTCAAATTAAGACATTAGGTCTTACGAGATTTCTTAATGTATTTTTTGATGTATTTGAATTCAGTTTTTTCTATAGTTATTCTTTATTATTGTAGGGTTTGAGGACTTCAACAATATTCTCGACGTAGGAGGTGCAACCTCCTTTTTCAAAAGCTCAGGCCCGATATCATTATGAATTTAGGATCAAACTCGAAAATTTACCTCAATCACTATTCGTTTGCTTGACAGACCCCTTACTCAACAGTCACATCCACGTCGCTTCTACTTTTCTTTCTTATATGAATTCTCGATTTTGTCATGCGGTCATGGTGTTAATGGATTTTGTGAAGGCCATTAGACCAATTTCTGCTACAATCATGCTTGATGTACATCATGATTTACGTTGTCACGTGACAAAGTGTCATTTGGTAGTCTTAAAACAAACATTTTTTCATCCAATTACTTTTTTACAACAAGGCAAATGTCAACCTTGTAATGTACAAATGATAGAATCATTTTCTGCTATGCTCTTTTATCTTTTTGTCTCTCTAGGCATGGTATGCCTACTTGCAACTCTTAAGAGTGTGAATACATAGGTTAGATGCAGCATAGTACTTTTTTGTGGGTTCTTCTTTTTCCTTTCTTGATTTCTTTTGTTGTTTCATTGAACTCCAGTCCCCACCCTCTCCAAAAAGTACCCTTCATCAACACTGATGGAATGTGTCATTATATAATGTTCACAACGGCATACAAAACCTCAACCACACTTTTTACATAGGATTTAAACGTGGGTGCGCAAGTGTACTCGATTTGTAAACGCTGGCATACTTGCTTACCCACCCACCATCTCCAGGCTCCAGCCAAAAGCCATGTTGACCCACCCACCATATATATCTGCCCACCGCCCACTGTCCAAGTTGTCAAAGTTTATAGAGTTGTGGCCTGTGGGCCGATGTTTCTTAAATTCCACCGGTCTCTGTTTGTGGCATTGTGGTCCTAAGGTTCATATAATTAATGTGCGTTCTCTTCATATGTCTTTGTTTACTGCCCTTTAGGTATCAGCGTTTCTATACTTTACATGTATTTTTGTGCTTGTCAAATGTATTAACTTGTGGGCCTTCTCACTGTTGGATGTTTATTTCTTCCTTCTGGATACTGTGAAATTTGAAGTTTATAAGGGGTAGAATCAAGAATGACAGTATAATGGAGTGGACTAAAATGAATTTTCATTGTGGAAGAGTTTGCAGTCCGTAAGAGTACCATCATAAATGCAGCACTGTAACTCTATTAATATTTCATTCTTGTAATATCCCTTTTGAAGATGTAATTGATAAACTTGTTCAAAGTGAAGAAAGTAGCAAATATTTTGGAATTTTTAGCAAGTTGGAAGGACAGGGACATGAAGACAATTTGTCAATTGTCGTGTATTTTCTGGTTCAGCCACCTTCGATCAAATTAGTATGCCCTCGAAATGAAAAAAAATAATAAAAAAACGTTATCTTGTCTTAGCCACATCAATCTAATTCTACTTGATTGAAAAAAGGAAAAATAAAATTAGATCCTAAACGCAAGTAAAACGAGTACACTCATCCACAAAAGTCTCTTTCGCTAGAGTTGAATCAATCCCTCATCCGTCCATACTCTACTAATTATCTAATTGCATATTACTGCATAAGAATTCTTCATCAGATGACTTTTATGTTCCGACAAATATATTTATTTGGACAAGAGAGGAATATTTCTCTACCTGACTTTGAAAGCAATACTCTAACCACTAAGTTAAGTAGGTCATTTATCATCCCAAAGATAACCAAATGGAACCATTGTACAATAAAAAAATGCATCTTCTTGAGAAATCGATGTCTTACTCCATAACTGTGAGGGAACAAACGGTAACCTGACAAATGGGTCGGTCCAATTTTGGTGCCCATTTATGTAACAAACAGACCCCATACATTGATTTAAGTAAGTATATGATAGGATCACTAATATATTGAGTTGATTAGATTTCAGTTTAGAATATAGATATCATTTCATCTCCATGGAAAACAGTTTACTTTGATAACTATATAATATTTTCAAGGGAAGAAGTGACAAGTTAAATGAGTAGCAATTAGTGAAATTATCTAGATGTTTATTGATTAAGAAGAAGAATAATACCCTATTGCCCTGCCTAAGAGAATACAATTTCTTACCCTTGAAGGAACAATATTTTGAGAATTTTATTAGAGATGTAAATCCAAACTCACATGACAATCTTGTATGCTTGGCTTCGATTCATACCCCAACAGGTTTTGAGAATTAGGGTTACTAATTGATGGCGGCTTCAAGTGATCGTCATAGAACGATGGGAGCTGATGCATATAAGTAGTGGAACTGTGAAGGGATGGGATTCTCCACAAGGCCAAGGGACTCCCATTGATAGGTGGCTGTGTGTAGGATCCATGGCGACTACCATATAACCTTGAGTCACTAGCGTAGGGATAATTGCCTCTATATGCCGTGGCTGCGGGTGGTGTCGAACCTAGACGATAACTCGTGACTCCATAAACGTGCGCTTCAGATAGGCCACCGTGTATCATTGCAGACTGAAGATGCGCACGTTTAGCATTTTGGCGCTCCCTCTTGTGTGCATTTTGGTGGCCTCCAAGAGCTTGAGAGGTAGGAAAGTTTCTGCAACAATAATGACATTCAAATTTTCTACCCTTATCTCCATTCTCGTTGTCTTTAGCCTCCTCTTCTCGAGCGATATTTTCACTAGTCTCGGATTCATCGTTAGCTGTTGACTCACCTCCAAATTCTTTACCAAAGAGCCTAATGGCCTTTTCTTTGACTAGAGCCGGACGAATAAAGGGTAGCTGGGAGAATGATTCGACGTTCATGAAGTCACGCGTCTCTCTCGCACTCTTCTCCATGGATGTACAAACCTTTTACCTCAAGTACAAAAGTTGTAACAAGTTTAAGGAGAAGATATTGAGAGAAATGTGAAAGAGCTATGGAGAGAAGAAAGTCTTGTATAAAGGGACTTGAGAGAGGTTATGGTGGGACCTCATGCATAATTGGAGCCTCAACCATTTCTTGAAAGTGGCCATAAATTTTGACGTTTCTACAGACTACAAGAATGGGTTTTGGCTTACATTTCTTGGCTTCTGTTTTCGTTTTTTTCTACATTGTCTCATAATCAGAAAGCAATATTGTGATGCACATTAGTGCATCTGGTAAAGAAGGGCAGTCATAATTAATTTTTTCTTTTATCAGTGAAATGGGAGAGATGTGAACAGATGAGTTCATTGGTGGGTCTTCCCATCAGGACCAGGTACGTACCTGCATTCAATATTCAAGTTTCAACACTTGATGTCTGGTTTTGCTGTTAACTTATTTCAAAAAATTGACGGGGGCGTTAATTCTGCAATGTGGTCCTTTAAAACGTTACCAACATGTCACATGAAATGAATAGATGTCTTCGGAACACCCGTGTACGATTTTACAACGAATCAAAGAAAATTAACCTCGGTATCGAGTATTAGACACTAGTAAATTTTAACTTGTTCGGCTCAACTACTACTGCAATATTTACATCATTACTATTTACAAAAGGGGAATTTACAAAAATGTCTAATTCCATGTCTGTCGATTAATAAGTGTCCAATTTTGATAAATCTTGCAAAATGGTTAAATTTAGTACTAAATCGTCTATTATACCCTTAATGAAAAATGAAGCAATTTTTTTTTTCCAATTTATCAAGAATTTTGAGAAGAATGAGTAGCTTCCATGAGAAGCTACATTAAAATGATGTTTTCAATAATTTAAAAGTTGTTATCGATATTTGAACCATGTTTATCTTGATAATTCATTTGTCCGGACGAGATTTCATTCCGAACATGATAGAGTTCACATGTGAAATATATTTCTCGATATTTAATACCTCTGTCGATGAGAAATATTACATTTACTGTGATTTGAAATGTGTACTTTTGAAATAAATATGGTAGGTTATGTTCAAGATTTTGCCCATTTTTGAGCTACATTATTTTTTTTCATTTTCATTATTCTACTCATTTTCAACCACATATTCTTCAATAAAATAATATTTTTCATCAAATCAATAACTCTTCCTTCTTTTTCAACCACACATTCTCCATCAATCTACTATTCCAAAATATATTGTTCCAAAATAATGTGGCTCAAACACACCCTTTATTGGCTAACAAAATTTTTAATCGTATGCACATTTTTGTCTTTAGTGTGAAATTACAAGTTGTTAACAAAGGTATTTTGGTGTAAAATACATTAAAATGAACATTAAACAAATTTTGAACATTTTACAAATGACCTTACGAAAATGGACGTTTCTTGTAATTTCCTCTTTACAAAATATAATGATAAAATGAATTCGACATGCTTGCTAAAAAATAAACTCATATAAATTTATCGTTCCTCTTTAATTACTTAAGGTTTTAAATGAAATAACTTGAGTGTATTATTTACACAGTATTCATGATCACGAGAAATCTTAAAATTTCCTAGAAAAGGTTAGATCCGCACTAGATTCGTTTAAACTTTTCTTGTGCATATATGATCTCCACTTTGTGGATGTGATGGATTTTTGTTGAGCATTACTGCCACAGTTGTCATGTCACCATCCATGGAACCCTGATTCTCTTTAACAAGTGGTAAAAGAGTTTAAATTTGACATTTTTGGTGTATCAGAGCATCTTCCGAAAGACTATCTTAGCCTCCGTTTGTTTTTCATTTTTCATCCATAAAAATGAAAAATATGACCGTTATCCATCACATCAAGTCATCAATTTTGAATTTCTATCTCTTGCGTGGAGCCGAATAATAATTATATTTTTCATTCTCATTCTACAATAATGAGAATCAAACGGACCCTAAATACAAAATACTTTTTTTATTTTATAGAGTTAATGCTTAAAAAAAGTTTTAAGAGACTTTTATTTTAACTTTTTAAAATAGAAAGTGAGTTTTGACTCTCTAAATTTAGAGAATCAAACTTACTTTCCATTCGGGTGTAATAGTAGTTTAATGGAGAATGTGTGGTTGAAAAAGAAGGAAAAATTATTGATGTGATGGAAAATATTATTTTATTGAAGAATATGGGGTTGAAAATAAATAGAAGAATGATAATGAAAAATTTAATTTGTGTCAAACAGAGGCTTAATGTACAATAATTAATTACAATTAATAATTCACATATTTAAAACTGCACTTTTGAAATTATTCAGACCACATTTAAATTAACTGATCATGACATATAAAAAATTATGTTAAGGGTGTGTTTGATGGATATTATTTTGGAAGAATGTATTTTGGAATAGTAGATTTATGGAGAATGTGTGGTTATGTTGCTCTTAAAGGTGTGTTTGAGCCACATTATTTTGGAAAAATATATTCTGGAATAGTAGATTGATGGAAAATGTGTGGTTGAAAAAGAAGAAAAAGTTGTTGATGTGATGGAAAATATTATTTTATTGAAGAATGTGTGGTTGAAAATGAGTAGAAGAATGAGAATGAAAATTTTAATGTGTGCCAAACATGGGCTAAATAAAATATGATTATATGAGGAGAAATCAACAAATGTTTCTTAAGAAAAGTGAAGGGTCAAATGGAAAGCATAAAAAATTTGAGTCGCTAAATTTAAAGATACTCTTTATAATGCATAAAATGCTTTTGGTTTGTTAAATGAAAGACGAAAAGATACTTGTCTTGTTGATCATCTCTCTTTCGAACGAGTTGGATTGACTAAGACATTGCTTGTCTATTATGAACAACACCAGATTTCCCATATTTGTGTGGACGACGTGGGATTTATCAACATATATAGTTACGATGTCCTCTTTTCTTTATTTCTTTCTCAACTCTTAACTATTATTTCGCGAGCGATGCTTTTGGACCAAGTCGCCTATATTTTGATTAATTATTAATTTTTTTTGTATTGAAGTGAAGCTTATTGATTTGGACCACCCAAGGCATCTTTGCAGATGTTGCACCAACCTTATGAGTTGTCCCGTTTGGTTCAGATTAAAATTTGATTTTAATATGAAGTCAAAACAATTAATTTTATTCACACGTTTTATGGGGTTCACAACTTTTTAACCACACATTTCATCAAATTTTATCAAAATTTACTAAATATCTGATTTTAATCTATACCAAATAGGAGTGAGATGTACACATCTTCAAATTGTCAATATCTCGGGTCTATTTCTTCTTCTCTCACTTTTTGTTCCTTGATAAATTAGTTATAACCAAAGGTAAAAACGCGTATACAAGTAATGTTACATAGTACACTCATCCTAAATACCTATTTTTCAGTGACAATTAAGTGGTACTAAGATTATCCTTTATGGAACTCAAGTCCCTATTACTCAATGGACCTACAATTTATGCCACTTAATTGTCACATAAATGGGTAGTTAGCATTATTAATGGTGCGTGCCTTTACTCAACACATATACATAAAGAAAATGGTATATTGCACATAAATTAGGGAACAATATATTTAGCGATAAATTCGTTTACGTGAATGATATGAGACAGTTTCCATTCTGATTTGATTTGATTTGTTTTTCTTTTTCATTTTTCACAAAAGAAAAAATTGTCAAAATTTCAATTCCAAAATAAGGTAATTACAATTGGAACGAGTGTCAGCTCTTATTAGAAATCCCACTATTACAAAAGAATCAGTCTACAAGTACAGAACAGAAAACTTGTACAAAATTGGTATAAAAATTTGAAATCAACAATACATATTCAAAATTGGAAAAAATACACACACACACACACACAAAAAAATGCACAGAATGCTACCACAACAGCATCATGTACAAATTCTGTGAGCATTCCCTATACTCACGGAAGAACTCATTACAAAATTAATATGTCTCTAAACTCGAAATTTTAACTAAAAATAAAGACTACCAAAAACAGGGCAAGCCACAGGTGACTAATCAATTAGACTTTGGATCTGGCATAGGGAAGAGTCCGGAGTCGGCAGCCCCACACGGCTGTGAGAATCCCAAGAACTTTTGAAGATTAGTCTGAATGACGCTACAAGTACATATACGAATTTTTCCAAAAAAGACACAAATATGTGGGATCCACTTTTTCTGTATGACCTCGACAATGAACAGTTCTGATAAAATAGAATTATGAGTAAAGCCCGGGGCAAATGAACTCGACGCCATGTAATTGGAGGGGGAGCTGACTGAAATGTGAGGGCGCTACCTCGGCCCCTTTTTGGGGCCCGGTCCAACAGCACGGTTCTAGAATTATTCATACTAATTGAGCACAACAAGTACAGAAACGCCATGGAGCAATCAGTCGTATCGTCTCCGGGCAAGCCCCTGTGGCTAATCTTCTGCACCAACCTTATCGGCACGAATGGAATTTTTGCCACGGCCTTGGCCTCAAATAGACTATTTAACAATCCGAAAACCATGAACAAGACAACAGATACGACAGCTCCCGACTTGAACTTGGATAAAGACAAATCTCGGCTGGACTCCTTCAAGGACGTCGATCCATTTTCTTGGTTTTGGATTTCTTAGGGCTGTTTGAAGCTGGGTTTTTGGAGTCAGTTGTTTTCATTGTTTCGAGCTTTTTCGAGGCCTTGTTTATGGTGGATTTGAGGGATTTGTATGAGGCAGTACGGTACACTAACAACCAGGAGATGGCCTCGCAAACTGTGGCAGTGCAAATTGAGATACCGACCAGTGTTAGGCTATTGGAATATTTGAGGTTGCGAACAACGCTGAAGCCATTGCAAATTGAAATATTGAGCGTGTCCGTGAGAGCTAATAATACACACACACACACACAAATTCTTGCTATGTTCCAATTCCTGTCTCTTTTTCTTCCTTGACCAGTTGGGTTTCTCTTCTTTTTTTCTAGTCCAGTTTGGACACGATGCATCATCAAGGTTGACGTGTGTTGGACTATAATTAAATAAATTATTTTTTAAGTTCTAATTAATCTCATGTTTGGTAGAAATTAAAATCTATATTTCAACATAAGATAAAGTTAATAATTAATTTTTAAGTACTTCACAACTTTTCAATCAGACATTTAATTAATTTCTAACGAAATCTGCTAAAAAATTAATTTTAATTCTCACCAAATAGGGGGTAAATAATTGAACTCATAACATACCAATTGTCTGAAAGCTCTCCTAGTCAGGTAAAACGCTTTCAGAAAATTATTGAAACTTTCTTAGTGTCATAAATAACTTTTAATTTTTTCAGAGTCCTACCAAATAAACTATTAATATTATCTTTATATCAATTCTTATTATCAAATAATAAGATGCTAACGTAATATCAAATTTGAAATACCGTCTTGTTGTGACATCAAATTTTAAATGGAGAACCAATCTGAAATTTTTTCGATCAAAAAGTTCACAATATGTCCACTCTAAAGCCGCAAATAGTAATTCTTATTGATGTTACGTGCAAAATTATTTTATTGAAAAAACGTTTGATTGAAAATGAATTAAAAAAGAAAAAGAGTTTTCAAAGAATGGAGCTCAAACAAGAACTAAATTACAGGGCAACTATTAAAGATGAGGAAAAATCAATGCACTCTAAGTTACATCGATAAGTTGAGGGTAATACTCCATAATTATTTAACAGAAATTTTGACAGTTACAATTACAGAGCATGATTACATAAATTCCGTCGAGGGTTAACATTTAGAACACCTCCGAAGTACTTGCCTATTAAACCAAGTTATTCGCATTGAATTCCAAAACAGCAAGGTAAAAACTAGGCTCGTCTACAAATTCAATCATTTCGAAGGAATGATCAGTGGCAGTGCTTTGCAATGTCATTTTCTCTGGCAAATTGGAGACTACTATATCAGGGTATTGCTCTCTTTGCTCTTCAACTACTTGCCTGCCTTGTGGATGGCTGATCACAACTCTTGCTCCTACACACAATCACAAGAAATTATTGCAAATATCGCGATGTCATTGCCAACATCTAAGCTTTCACGGTACAATCCAAATAGCTTTTTGCTTCATCAAACACACAATCTTTGAGCTAATTAAACATGGTTTTCAACATACAAAATAAGAATAAATCATGAGAAATGTATAGAAGTGTCGTTGTTCCAAGCTTACCAAGCTGGAAGAGCGGCAAAACTATCGACTTAAATGGTTCGAGATGAAAGGAATAGCAAATGAAGTTTGTCTCTCGCATCAGTAGTTAGGTTTGGGATATAATCACAAATAGTTCAGGTCTATTTTGAGTAGTGTAGCCCGGATAGAGTCAGTCCAGAAGCGCAACAAAAGTATATTCAGTTCATTATTACCTGGCGAACAATGCTTGGCGAGTGAACCAAGAACCTGATGAAGTTCGAAGGGTAAAGCAGGGAGAAAGTAAAGAAATACGACATCAAAAGGTGTCCACTTATCAGGTACATTTATCAGTCCTCCTTGCCAGCATTTGACTTTATCATACTTCTCTTTGATGCATGCCAAGATAAAAAGAGAGTCATGGACGACAAGCAATTGTTGACAAGGTGATGAATCAACCACTCTATCCACAAATCCTTCAGAACCAATAGAAACCAGAACCTTTGAAGTTTCTACAATCTTTCCAGCAGAGATGATACGGTCAATCTTCTGCAAATGTTCTTCAGCACAATTTGTTTCGTCAAAATCAATAACCGACCAATCTTTCTCCTCAAAATCTTCAAAATGGACTGTAGAAATTGTCCCCTCACTTGAAGGAATTGCAGCACTAACCAAAGATTGCATCGTGATTGAGGGATGAAGTGAAATGAGGGGAATTTGGTTTGGACGAGAAAAATGATGACTGATTTTAGAATAATGACAGTAACCAAATGGATAAAGAGGCCGTAAATGTAGATACTGTGGCACTCCATGCAATGAAGGTTTGAGCGGGAGGAAAGACAAAGTTGAAAATACAGAGTTCATCAGAAACACTAATATTAAGCACAGTTGGGATATTTGTGATTTGTTCCTTCGAGCTGAGCGATTTTGATTGTGTACAACTGGAGCATGAAGTGCTCCTAACAGCTGCCACTTACGTCTTCTTATACCAACCAAACTAATAATCTTCCACAGATCAGTTCAGTACCTGTCATTTAATATCGAATGTTAAAACCTAGGGATGCAAAGAGTGGAAGTGAATATGTCAACTTTGCTTCTTAATTATTGACGCACCTCTACAACACATGCTAAACACATTGAAATTACTACAACTTCATGTTCTTCACAAGCGGGAACAAAAGTAGAAAACCAAATGCTTCCTCATGGAATAGACAATGGAAGACCCACAAAATGCTGCTTTCCGGACTATTTACTAGATTTATAAAGTTATAGCACTAAAGCATCTGTTCATGTGGGTCGTTGTTTTTCCCGAGATAGGGTTGGTGTTGAGTGTACCGTGATTTACTGGCACAGTCATTAAACTTAGCCATTTTGATCAACATAGTGGACTGATTTATACGTTTAAACTGATTACAACCAGGACTATTTCAACAAAAATAAGGGCAATCCTTATTCAACCCGAAAGAAGTACCACCTCACTTAGAAAACTAGTTGGTCAAGCCTCTAATAAAGCTACCTCTATGTGCATTATTAAGAACCTTGCTCCCTGCTGGAAGACATGGGTGCAACTGACAGTTCAACCACTCAATGATCAGATCGCTAAATCAAATTGAACAATAAGGTCTTTCACCATTGCACACAACATATTGAGGATAACTGAAACTTTATTTCTCAGCATCCAAAGAGCAGTACACTTTCGTTTGAGTCAGTGTCAGTTAAGATTCGAATTCCAGATATTTTCACCAAAGTTTCCATAATTTTGTTTATATCAGAGGGGAAGCCACCTGGGGTTAGTGGGGGCAACTGGAATTAGGTCCTGGGTAATTCACCTATTACACTTGAGGGGGGCAGCCAGTTTTCAAGGCAAGGAGAAAATCATAAACAACCACATCAAAAATTCACGAGAAATGCTGTCCAAAAATTCATTGTTGTTAGAGGAAGATTACCATCAAGAAATAACAATCTTGGAAAAATAAATAAATTATAAGGAGTTGAGTTGAAATTAAATCATTCATAACAATAAGACTAATAAAAGCAGATACCACATTCCAAATTTGGTGATGAAAAAGTTGAGTAGAAATTCTCCAGCACGAGATAAATTGGTGCCTACGGAGTGATGGATATGTCGCCCTTTTCGCCTCACCTTCACACTGAATAGTTCCCAATTTTTGGTGTATTTCCGATGAATAAAACCTTAGCCGCTTGTCCCCTTTGCTCTGTAAATAAGACAAAATAGTTGGATATGCACGCCTTTTAATTGGGCTTTACCAAAAAAAATCTGAACCTTGAAAAATTTCAAAAAATGGGCTCTATCAAATTCTCATCCATTTTTCAAGTGGGCCTCAATGAAGTGAAGTAATAAACAAAAAAAATTAAGGGAAAATTAGGCCAAATGCCCTGTTAAACTAACTAAATTGAATAATACCCTTTTAAAACTAATTAAATCATTCAACCCGTAATTAATACGTCCTAAACCTAAAATCCAATCTGCATTGATTACAAACCCTCTCTTCAACTGACGCACTCGCACACCATTCACTCTTCGAAAGAAAAAACACAGAGCCATGGCTACTTCATTGGCTGCAATGATGGAGTGCCGAGCTGCAACCTTCGCTCGGCTATCATCTCCTGGCTCTACCGCTAGATTCACCTATCTGGCTCTCCACCGTGGCCTCACTAGCGCCGCTGATCACAATGGGCCAACTAAGGTTGATTGCTGGAAAGACCCGATGGGTCCATCCAAGTGGAAGGAGGAGCACTTTGTGATTGTCTCTTTATCTGGCTGGGGTTTACTTATCTTGGGAGGGTACAAGTTTTTCACTGGAGGCAAGAAGAACAATGAAGAGAAACTGGTGGAAGCAACACACTAGGGCGTGGATTACAAATGTAGTTGTTACAGAAACTTTCTTCTAATATGTTAAACTTTGCGTTTGTGCTCCGATTTTGATGTATGGGGACAGTTCACTTGTTTCCAATCATTTTGAATCAAAAACTCGGGTTCCAATTTTAACTTCTTCACTTCGAAATTTGACTCCTATTTCTACAATGGTTAGAGAAAGTGATTTGAAGAGGAAAGCAAATATTGATGATGAACCATCTTCAAAGAAAAAGAAGAGAATTTATTCAACAGTGTCATTTAACTTCAGATAGCTAAAATAAGTGCATGTTTGTTCCTTATATTTTGCCCAATTTTAGAGATTATTTTTCTTCAAAATGTAAAAATGTTTGCTTGTTAACTAAGGCTATTTTTGTCATTTTTTTTAATTTCGTCATTTTTGAGTGTTTGTCACTTTTTAAAAATCTGTCACTTTTTTTAAAATTTGTCACTTTTTTTTTGAATTTTTGTCACTTTTTTTAGTGTTTGACACTTTTTTTTCAATCGCCTTCTTGAAATTTCATTCACTTTTTAGTAACAAACATCATTTTTTAATAAGAGTGAGATTATAAAAAATGACACTAAATTTTTAAAAGTGACATTGTATCACTTTTTTTTTAAAGTGACAATTTTATCACTTTTTTGTGTGCTTATAACTTTATTGAGTGTTTGTCACTTTTTTCAGCCATTATTCTGAATTTTTTTCATTTTTTATTGTTTGTTACTTTTTAAAAATTTTTATCACTTTTTTTGAATAACAGACATATGTCTTGATTGATGTTTTGTCACTTTTTTAGGTGTTTGTCATTTTTTGAGTTTGTATCACTTTTTGAGTGTGTGTGTGTCTCTTTTTAAAAAATAAAAAATAAAAAAATGACAATTTTTATAAAAAAAAGTGACATTATATCACTTTTTTATTTTATACAGTATTTTTTACTTCTTAAAAATCTTTCATATGATTTTTCAAAATACTTCTAATTTTAAGGGTATTTTTGTAAGTACTCCAAAAAATTAGACCAACCGAATATTAACTTTTACTTTTGACAAATTAGGCGATTAATAAAAAAATTGTCGAATCACATATTTAGGAATTTAGGGGTGTTTCAACTGAAATTTTGATGAGTTTTAAAATATTATAAATTTTAATGAATTCCGTGAATTTTAATAAATTTTCACAAAATCCATAAAAACCTCATTAAAATTTGTGAAATTTCAAAAGAGTTTGTTATATGTATTTTAAGCTTGAAATCCGTTCAAATCTTTTAAAATCTTCCTATTTATGAAATTTTTGTAAATTCATGAGTTATTTAGTATACCTAAATTTTAAAAGATTTTAATTGAAATTCATTAAAATTTTAGTTGGCGACACCTAGATTTTATTGGATTTCATTAAGCTCATGATCGGGCTACATTTTATTTCAAAATGTATTTTGCTCTTTCTTCTTTTCAATCACATTTTTCAATAAAATAATATTACACGTAAATTAAAAAATCTTATTTTTTAATCGCCCATTTTCTAAATAATCACTATTTTAAAGTACATTTTTCCTAAAAACTGTTTTTAATGGAACCCAAATAGTGGCTAATATTCATTACAATCTCAAACGAGGATATTAATTTGTAGAGATTCCAATTGATAATGTCATCGATCATTTTTTATTTTTATTTTTGAAAAGAAAACATTAAATTGCTATATTGTAGGTATAGATCTGAAAGAAAAAGAAAAAAAAAAAAAACTATTTTTATATATCCACCTAATAGTCTCATACGAATCTTTTAATGTAGAAAACCTATGAAATCGATTCAATACATAATATTCTAAAAAATATATTTTTTATTTTCGAGTGAGCTGATTTTTGTAATTTTGCCAAATGCTTCTTATTTCACAAAATATAATGTTAATTATATGAGTAATCCAATTTTCCTAATAAATATATGTCTATTTTATTATTGTTCGATATCTAATACCGTGTATGAACAATATTACAATTAAATAATTGACAAAAATACACTTTTAACATATGAGTAAATCAACCATAATTACACTAATTCACACAAAATATTATAATATATGTTCATTTGAAAAAAAAAAAAAAAAAAGATAAAGGTAATTAAAAACGGAATATAGGTAAATATCTGAATAGGGAATTTTGAAAGTTGAAATTTATACAAGAAAGCAAATAGAAGAATCAATAATAATACAAAACGCTCAGTTACAAGAGAGAACCCGTCGGTTGGTAAAAAATCTAATATAACAGCTTCAAAGTTGATCCTAATATTATCGAATTAGATCGATTTGATTGGTTTCAAGGTATTGTTGCCAATAATTTTTTAAAGCACCAAGGATTCAATTATTGGGGATGTCACCCTGACAGAATGAANTCAAAGGACCTCAAGGTGGCAAATTATCTTTCATAGTATTCTGTCTCACTCGATACAAGATGAAGTTATGCGAGTTATTCAGAAAGACGAAACAAACACTATATTTGATCTTGACAGATAACTCTCTTTCAAGAATGATCAATGCAAAAATCAACGATTCAATCATAAAATCAAATCATGACAATAAATTACCAAGAATGTAGATTCTTACTACCTAGTATTTCTTTTTTCTATTTTGTCTAACATTAACAAGCTGAATAACCATAATCAAGTTGAATTTTTTTGTCCAAGCAATCGAAGGAAACGACAATTCCCAAGTGAAAGAGTGTATACCGTAACAAAACATGAATATTTTCAGTACCTTTTGCCAAGGCAAGATCAATTGAATTTCGACTATTTTCACTACTAGAAAGTGTGGCTTCAGCAATGAAAATTTACCGATACTCAATTTTTGTCGTTATTGCCGATGGCTTACCGATATAATAATTAAATTAGTGACAGACAATAAACAATAACTTTTTTTTTTTTCGAGTGAACTGATTTTTGCAATTTTGTGAAATGCTAATTATTTCCCAAAATGTGATGTTAATTATATGCGTTATCAATTTTTTCTAATAAATATATGTCTATTTTATTATTGTTCGATATCTAATAATGAGCACGAACAAAATTACAATTAAATAATTGACCAAAATATACTTTAACTTATGAGTAAAACAACGATAATTATAGTAATTCGCGCACGATATTATAATTTCATTCCTAATTAAAAATAATAATTAAATATTTAATTGTTGAATTTCTATGAAATTTTTCAGTAGGCATTAATATATAAATTAATGAAATGTAAATTATAACTAGCTTCATGCCAACATAACTAGTAAAATTTTAAGTCAATTATGAGGACTTGTTTAATTTCATAGGTTATCAATAAAAATTTTGTTATTTTCCATCAATACTTGTACAAATATAAACACTGCCCAGAAAACTTTGCCATCTTCAACATAGATGTCTGTCATAGAGCATTCAAGGAAATGTTGAGAGCTATATATCTAAGCAAGAAAAGATCAAGCATTTAAAAAGACAAATTACAGACCTGAAATCTCCTTGATTTGTTATCTAACCTCAGCGTTCCTCTATATGTATGCCTCTCTTATTGCATCACCGGCGATAATAACAGTAAACTGTGCCTTTTATGATTACAACATTTGAATCTAAGGCTCCGTGTTAGGGAGTTTACTGAGGATAGTGTGTTCTGGTTTGTGATCACACTCGTAATCAAGATGAACAAAAGCCCTTTCAACTTCGGCAAGCTCTTCAATCTTTATCTGTAATGATTCTCCAATTGCATGGGCTTCTTTCAATGGCAAATCCTCTGGAAGCTCTATGTCCACCTATTATATTGTTCAAAGTTAAAATCTTATAAAACTATTTCTTGAATTCCTAAAAGACATCACAATAAGGTATGGAAAAGTAATGCCATTAACTGAATTTAAGGCTACTTCTTAAGGTTCAAGAGTATGTACAGACAACCTGCATGGATTTATCTTACCTCGACAAAGTAGAGAACGCCGAATGTGTAAGCACGAACTGTATCAACCCGCTTTATTTCAGTACTGTGCCTTAGGACAAGATATGTGAGTTTCTGTAATACTTCTGGAGGAGCTGATTGTCCCACCAGAGAAACTGCAAAAGGAAGCAACAAGCAGTTTGACACATAGATGCTGACATCCCATGAAGAACATTCAGATAATACTAACACAATTTTGTCCAGTTTTTGAATTAGTCTTACTGTCCTGTTACCATGAAAGTAGAGGATGAGGAGAAACCTGCATTTTCCAACACGGTTCCTGACCAATTTGAGATCGTATAGAGAGCAAGAAGTATAGCTCCAGAAGGATCAATCCACCAGTAGAATTTATCGCCTAAAACAGCAGCAATCAAACCAACCACATTTGTCACCACATCAAAATAATGGTCCTGATGTCATGATAAAAGAATAGGGTGAGTACAAAAAAATGCTATGCATTCACTTGTTCTTCGAAAGTTAATATTTAGCAAAAGACCTTTGCGTAGGCTCGAACAATCTTATTTCTAGAGCTTCTGCAGTAAATCCAAAGAACAAGTTTTACCCCAGTGGCTGTCAACATAATGACATACAACCACAACAATTGATACGAACTCATCTTTCCTGAAGGTTCGACTTTGATAAGTTGTTCTAAAGCCTGTACAAGAACCTGAAAACCTGAAAGAAATAATATTCAACACACACTGTGAAACAAGCCTGTAACTTTATCTTGTACATGGATTTTCGTTAGGAAGATCTATTAAATACTGAGATTCATTTTTAAAATCTAAGAGTAGAATAGAAGAGGCATCACTGGTTACCAAGAGTTGCCATGACAGCAGCAAAGATGATAATCCCGACTGGTTGCACTCTTAATTTTCCAATAGGATACTTGTAGATATTTATGCTTTTCATTGACAAGTGCGTAAACCATAGTATTCCCCCTGCCAAAAGATCAAGCAATGAATCCAGCGTTGATGCTGCAATGGCCAAGGAGCCACTTTGGACCGTAGCATAAATCTGCATTTCGTTCAGGATACTTAATTCAATAATGTAACTGGCTCATTGCAACTAGTGAAAATAAGATAGAGTTCTAGCTCAACTTGATCAAGAGAATGCTATAAAACAATTCTAGTAGACTAAGTTGTGCAGTGTGTAACTGTAAAATCTCTCAACATGTACCTTAAATGCAAGAAGGAAGATGTTTGCCCAATTAGAAATGCTCATCGCTCTTTCATGTTGCACTTGTTCTTGACGATCTATCTCTTCGTCAATGACATTGGGAGAATCAAGTGAGTCGACTTCCAGTTTCCTGGAGTTCCACCGTTTAAGTCTTTCGTAGTATTCTTTCTCACCTGATACAAGATGAAGTTATGCGAGTTATTCAGAAAGACGAAACAAACACTATATTTGACCTTGACAGATAACACTCTCTCTCCAGAATGATCAACGCAAAAATTAACGATACAATCATAAAACCAAATCATAACTGTGAATAACCAAGAATGTAGATTCTTACTACCTAGTATTTCTTTTTCTATTTTGCCTAACATTAACAAGCTGGATAATCATAATCAATTCGAATTTTCTGTCCAAGCAGTCAAAGGAAACGACAATTCCCAAGTGAGTGTATATCGTAACAAAACATGATTATTTGGTGTACCTTTCGCCAAGGCAGTAATTGTATTAATCAAAGCGAAAAGGAGCCTCAATATCAAGTCTTCTCCATATTTTCTCAGGTAGTTTAGACAAGAAATCACATTTAAGAAGATCGATTGAATTCCGACTACTTTCGCTACTAGAAAGTGATGCTTCAAAGATGAAAATGCACCGATAGTCAATTTCTATCGTTATTGGCGACGGTTTACCCTCCGAAATAATTAAATTACTGACGAACAATAAATATTAAGCCCATGTTTGACCTACATTATTTTTTTCATTCTCATTCTTCTACTCATTTTCAACCACATATTCCATATCACATCACTTCAAAAAAATGCATTCTCTCATTTTAATGTGCACCAAACAGGCCCTAACTTTTTTAGTTATTATACAAAAAAGGATATCTTAGGACGGAGGAATTTACCGGCAGAAATCTTCTGCCGAGAAAAATCCATTGGTAATCCCATGGTAAAATTAAATAAATAAATAATTAATATTTTTGAAGGATTTTAAAATAAATAATTCCATTGGTAACTATAAAATAAAATAAATATGAGTTCAAATGGAAACAATCCGCTGATAAATACTTTATTCCGTCGCTAATATATTGAAAACAGAAAAAGTTATTCTAAAAACACTTAATTTGGTTGATGTTAAGAAGTTTTTGTATTAAATATTTTGCAGGTTATATATATATAACCATGAAATTAATTTAGTAGGAAATAAAATAGGAATTTACCAACGGAAATAACAATGAGAATTTCGTCGAAATTTTTCATTGAATTAAGCAATTGCTTAAATAGTTGTTGAAAAATTCGCCACTATTTCCAACGAATTTGCATGTAGGTAATTCCATCGGTAATCACTGACGATTATGTTACCGTTGAAAATATTACTGACGGCAACGGGACTTTCACCGACTGTATGTGTCAACGAAAAAATCCCACCGATAAGTAAGATTATCGACGGAATGATGGCCTTTAGCGATGGAAATATCAATAGTTGAAGCCGCATTTTCTAGTAGTGTTTGGTTGTTAAGTTTTGGTTCTTCAATAGACAATAATGGCGTTTTCACATCCATTGATCAATTTCCAAAACCAAAGCACAATTTGTTACGAATTTGTAATTCTATTCAATTAAAATTTGAGAAATGCTATTCATCCCCACTAGGGATGCATTCCCAGTCTATTTGGCGTTAATGTGGCATTAAATGATAGGTGAAATTAAATAAGTCATTTAATTTTACCTATTATTGAACCAATCATTTACATCCCCATAGATTGGGGATGCATCCCCACTGTGGATGAATAGCATTTTTCTTAAAATTTGGGTCGTATCACAATCACAAAACCTTGTTCATAAATCTCAAAATCGCACTCTCAAAACTGTCCAAATATCAAGATTTTCTTCTAACACACATAAGGAGATCCACTTTTGATACGCTAATAATAATCTATTGTAATGTGCCTAGAAATTCAAAAGAATCCCAAGAAAACTTTACGCAGAAACCCATAAATTCACCAGCTTACAATGCTAGAAGGGGAGTGAGGGTTTGAAATTGAAGAATTTTGTAAATTTTCAACTACTTATGTTGATTAATTCATTCAAAATTTATTAAAAATATAATTTTTATTTAAATGAAACGGAGGCCACATTAGATTCTTAATTAGTACTAATGTTCTAAAAAGCTAGCTTAGGTCACGCCTAGACTTGAAGCTCGGGAAAAATGCTTCATTTCGCACCTAAATGCTTTTTTTTTTTTTTTACAATTCTTAAACGGCTGAATTTTTCATTTCTCTTTTTGTCTCCCCTAGGCACCTTTTATTAGTTTTTTTTTTCCTTTTTTTAAAAGTCTTTTATTTGATTTTAATTTATTATTTTTTTATTTTAAAAAAAATTCATTTGACGTTAATTTCAAATTTTTTGAAAATTTATCTGGTAAAAAGTTAAAAATGGATTTATCTAAATAGTTAAATAAGATTGAAACTATAATACTATCTACATTATATAATTCTGATCTCGAAATTCGTTATTTTGTTGTAAAATCCAAAAACATGTATTAAGTTCCTATAAATCAATTATGCAGGACTTGTCCAGTTAAAAATCAAAATTATGAAAAATATTCTAATTTTTGCATTTCGAAAACTTGAAAATTATAATAATTGACCAGTGATAAGAATTATTAAGTAAATATAGTATTTTGTAATTTTAAATATTTGATATGTATTATTTTAATTATTAAATAATTTTTAAAATGATTAATAATTTAAAATAATATTAAAAATAGAAAGCAATTTTTTACGTCTAAGTCTTAGACATATGTACGTACCCGAATCTTTTTTACTTTTATTTTTATTCCAATTACTAAGTAATTTCAAAAAATATTAATTATCTTTTACCAATGTACCTACTAACCGACAACTACTTACCATACTTTTCCAAACATTTTCATAGATTACCCGTTTGATAGTTTTTCTTTTTGAAAGAATGAGTTTTTAACTAGTAAATTTTTGAAAATATATAATTAAAAAGTAGGAAAGTGTTTTAAATTTATTTTAAAAATATTTTATTGTTAGAATATGTGGTTGGAAATGAATATGAAATAAAAAAAATTTGAAAAGAATGGTGGTCAAACACTGACAAATGAACCAAAACAGCTGCCAACTTATTTAATGTATGCTATGGGTACAGGAAATTACCCACAGAAAACGAACAGAATACACGCAACAGGTGGGCCCCTATTTTTTTTATCAATATTTTATTCATGTGGGGCCGTCATTCCATGCGAGTAAAATTTAAAATTATGTAGAAAATTTGTATTTTTTCCCGTACTTGCAGTCTTTTCCTTATTTAATAATAATTCAGTAAATAATTAAGGTATACATCAATCTCATTTATCATTTGGATTAGACACTGATACCTACCCCCATTGAAGCTCCAGAAATAATTGAATAAAGACACTTGTACATCATATTTAATTTTATAATTTATTGTGATCACATCAATATTTTCAAAGAAAAAGAAACGATGTGGATATTTTTGTTTTAAGAAAATGAAAACTATGTACTGCTGTTTCATGAGATATTCCTACGCTTGGGATCGAATTGAACTAGGTGATAGAATGGTTGTAGCATTGAGATTAGTCCACTTAAAAAAAAAATTGTTAGAATTTGGGTGTGATCCGAATTTATTATTGAAATAATTGAAAATTTCTAATTGAAGTGCACGTCAAGAAGAATTCAATTTGAAATGTTATTAAAATCATATGTCAAATTGAAATTCTATTTTGGAAGCCCATTGAAAATTGTTTTGGACTCGATTTTTTAATATCTTACTTTATCAACAACTCTACTATGAGGGTTTGAACATCCCCTACATGTTCCCTATAAATATTAGGTTCTTCTATACAATTTTATAATATGAGAAAATATATTACTAGAATTATATGATCAATTGTATTTTCTCCATTATTATTGGTGTAATAAAGAAATATTGTCTTGTCTTTTTTATTATTCTTTTGCTAGTGATCAAATACTTCATTATTGTGCCATATAATTTCAATATTTCAATCCGGTGGTTGATTTCATATCAAGTGGTATCGATCGATACGTAATCCTTGAATTCTCAACAATTGGTATCAGAGATTTTAGGCATAATTAACACAAGATGTGATATTAGAGTAATTCTGATATCTTGTTTGTTTCACAACAATTTTAATGACTATTATACTTAGGATAATGATAGATGTACATCAAAGTGTACATAAGGGAGTGCCTCCAATGAAATGATGCCGGGTGTCCATTATGTACACCCTTATGTACTCTTTGATGTACAAGAAGCATGATCCTTATACTTATAACCCTCGTTTCCTATTTGTCATTCCATCTATTTTCGCTTAAAAATTATGTGCTTGTCTCCCATTATTGAGAGAAAAATAGAGTAATGAATAGTATTTTTTGGAGAATGTGTGGTTGAAAAGTAAAGTAATATTATTGATTTGTGTGTAGAATATTTTATTGGGTGAATTTATGATGGAGAATCTTACTGTAGCTAACAATTTTTTGGAATAATGGTAGACAAACATGGGCTAAATGAGTTTGACGAAGTGGTAAACGATTTAGAGTGATGAATGGAAGACGAGGAATTTGAAGAGTACGCCAACTCGACTATCTATCTAAAAGAATAGATGAGCAAAAAGCAAGATTTTGAAATGCAATTTTTCGTCAGTTATATTAATATCTAAAACGAGATCAGACGAGATTGAAAAAGAAAAAGAAAAAGAAAAAACTTAAATAAGAGAAGTAGAATTAGAACACTACCTTGAAGGAGGCCTTCAGCAGTAGAGAGATCAACATTATCGACAAGATCCTCAGGATCCACTACACCTTTCACTTTGTCTGGTAGGCTTTGAATGAAATCACGTCTCATTCGACTCAAAACATCGTTCCTTCCATAACTATTCAAGGGTTTCTTCAAATCTTTCTCAAGCTCCATTTTTATCTAAGAGAGAAGAATCGAGTTCGATGCAAATCCCGTTATATATTTTTATTTTAGGCAAATGACAGCTGTTTGTGAAATCAACATATTTGTTTAATTGAATATAACTGCATTTAAGGTTATTTATTGTTGTTCAGTCAGCTACTTCATTGAAAAAATTCAATGCAATTTAGTATTGACTCACCTAAGATTCAGTTGTCAATTAAGAAAGAATAATGATATTCATCCCCACTGAATCGAGCTCCGATCTATATAGCAATTATATGACATTAAATGATAGATTCAATTAAATGAGTCATGTGATTTTTTATTTAAATGAATCTATCATGAAATTGCCACATAAATTATGACTCAACTCCAGTGGGGATGAATAACATTACCCATTAAGAAATGTTATCATGCATCACTGCTTATCATTAATCAGCTAATCATTCAACTAATGATATTTTTTTATTAGGCACACATGAAGAGATGTTGCAGCCCACGAAACAATGCCACGTTTGTTGTAGATTAAAATTATTTTTTTAACAGATTTTATTAAAGTTGATGAGATGTATGATTGAAAAGTTGCGAATGAGCACCTTATACACTGATTTTAAAATTATTGACTCTGACTTTAATAAAAATCTAGATTAAAATTTCTACCAAACAGATGTATATATAAATTTTGATTCCAAACATATACAGACAAGCCATTTGTAAATTTGGACAATTCCGTTTGAGAAGAATTTATAAATAGACAAAAACGAGTGGTGAAATAGTTGAAATGTTAAACAATTAACTAGCGCCGATGAGGGATTCGGGGAAGCAAACTTCAATGTTAGTGATTATAACCATCGTTCGGAACGAACTAGAAAACAGAAGAAACGACTAGAAGAAGCATCGACTGCTCGTTCAAGCTAGTCTCTTTATTAACTTGTTTCTTTTACGTTTGCTGCAATGGTCCAACTTGGTTGAGCCTCTTTTTTAAATTCAGTGGCTAGGTTTGGCTTTCTACTGCCGGCCATGGTGGGTCAGCGTTGGTCCCCCCCCCCATTAAGACCTCTTTAGACTTTATGCTTACCCTCATAGTAGGTCAAGTCAAGCCCAATAAAAAAATGACACTCCATATGTTTTGATTTAACATAAAAGTTCTTGTCTTTCATCAAAAACAAAAATTTCCATCAAGGTAAGTCTGTCTTGAATTATAAGTGAAACATAAAAGGAGTACAATCCAAAACACAAACATGTAATCCTCTAAATGGCACACGAATGCAGCGAGCTTTTTAGTCACCTTATTGCATTCCTAGGAACGAAAGCAACATGGATCGATACTCACATTTTCCAACAATGAAGGGGCACACTTGAGACCTCAAGCCTCGAGTCAAACCCTAAGAGTCCGTTTGATTACAAGAGTGGAATTTGAATGGAAAGAAAATGAATTTTAGGGAATTGAATTGCTTAGAATTGTTTTATTGAGAATTGTCAATTAATTGTGATTGATTGGTATAATTTTCCACCTGAAAAATGTTGAAATTTTGGATCTTTTGGTATTCGTTTGACTTTATTTTTTTTTATAAAAATTGTCCATTAAAAGGAAAAAAATTTCACAGTTGTTCATAGAATTTGTTTCCATTGTAAAAAAAAAAAAAAATTTCATTTTTTTTAAAAAAAAAGTAAAAAAAAAAAAAAATGCCAAAAGATATTGTGCATCAAATAAGGCATTTGTAGAACTTTCCTACCACTATTCATATTGCATCATTTCTGACATCATGCTGTTGTCATGAATTTTCATACCAGTTTTACCATCTTCCTACGCCGTTTGGCCTAGTTTGCCTAGCCGATTTCAAGCCGAACCGCAAAAGGGTAGACAAATTAAAACTGTGTTTGAAGCTCCTGGTACAGACATTAACCACCCAAGTGCCTGCCCATTTTCCAAAGTCACTTCATTTAGACAATTCATCAAACAGTTGATGTGTACTCACAAGTGAGCCATAAATTATATTTATGCACGTGTGTATATCTGTATGTATGTGTGTGTGCGCCTTCTACCAAGGCTACCGTGCTATAGGTACAGAAAGATTTGCCAGCTAATTGTCAGATTTTTGAAATCAAAGGCCAGGATTTATACAAAAGGGCGAGAAAAAAAAATCAAAGGTCACGATCATTTTTTGGTAAGTTTCTAGTACTCAGGGAATTTTCCGCAAACGAATCTCTCTCCCTTTTACAGCGGAATAGTTTTCATCCAGCGTTTTGGACGTGCTTACAAGTTAAAAGTTAAAACTTATTTTTAAAGTAAAAAATCCTCTATCCTCTACAATATTAAAAGAGAGAAACTTTCCTAACACTATTCATATTGCATCATTTCTGACATCATGCTGTTGTCATGTATTTTCATACCAATTTTACCCTCTTCCTAAGCCGTTTGGCCAATTTTGCCTAGCCGATTTCGAGCCGAGCCGCAAAAGGGTAGACATTTTTTATTTTGCTGCCTTTTCTACTAACTTTCTCCTATCTCCATTTTTACACACAAACTCCCATACTCCACCATTTCTCTCTCTCTCTCTCTCGACATTTCTATATCTTACACGCTTTCCCTTCTCATTTTCTCCCTCTGCAGTCGATGAAAACCTAAGCTCCCTTCTTCGCCTCTTTTTTTTTTCCTTCGGTTCTGTTTTCCCACGATTTTGTCTATATGGCGTTTAATTTCGCCAAGGCTTTTCAGTCCTAACCGTCGTAGAAGTTCTGATCCTCTATTGTTGTTTTCTTTTGCAGAGATTTGAAGCATCATCATAGATCAAACGAAAAAGTTCATGAAACAAGGTTTTCAGGTAAGTAAATATAGATTTTTCGATGAATAGAAGGTACGGTGGTTCGATTTTACTGTATGTATTAGATGTGCAAGATTATTATTTTTTATTTGAGAGGGCTATTATTTATTTTGCGAATTCGATGACTGCTCCGGTTTTCGGAATTGGGGGATTAAGATTGTTCACAAGGAGTTCGGAATGAACACCCAATTTATTTTTTGCAATCGGCTTCCTCGGATTAGAGTTTCTTTTATGAGCTTTTGGGGCGTTACTTAAAATGCATCACGTTACAATTACGGCTTGATTGAAGATTTTTTCTCTTCATAGTATTCAACTGTTTTCCTTTTACTTTCACATCAGTTTTACATTGAATAAACGAAGGATTGGACAAGGAGACGGAGTTGAGCTGGTGGCTTTAGATGCCTAATTGCAGAAGGCGCGTTCAATTTTCTGGTCAATATGGTGAGGTATTGTTTTGGTTCCTTTAAATTGATTTTGTAGATCAAAAAACTATTGTATGTTTCAATCATTGCGTAGGAACTAATTAGTAATGTGAGGGATAAAGTATTGCAGAACATAGAAACAAAATCCATGTTTTTTTCTTATGATAGGAAGTATGAATTTATTGGGATCTTAGTATCAGAGGCTAACATAAATAGAAAGGCATTAGCAGAAATGAAATTTGATTTGTTTGTGGGTTCAATATGCTTGTTGATGGATAAAAATGAAATCTTGGAACAGAAGAAAACTCAGCATTGGCGAGGGAAGGAAAATGCTTTCGGAGATCGAGATTGGATTTGTTTTTCATTAGGAAGCTCGATGAAGAGACAGGAAATTGAGCTTGTAAGTTGAAATCGTTTGTATTTTTTCAAAACCTTTATATGGTTGTGTTATGAAATAATCATTTGCATTGTTAAGTCACGTGCATGCTCCCTCCTTTGGGTAAAATCATATTCCCTCATTTCCATAATATTTATGAAGTCTTTTTATTTTTATCTGGAAATATCACTTATTTTGTATTTGTTAGAGTAGAAGAGAAGATGACAAAATTCAGTAAAAATGAGTGAAACTATGAAAATTGCTTCCTTTACACAAGACTTCTTTTTATGAGGAGGTGAGGAAGCTGAAAATAATTTAGTTTCTCATTCTATTGAAGCTGCAAATCATACCAGCTTAGAAATTGCCCAAAACTTAAATTTACACGAGTGGACAGAGTGATTCAGCCACCCTTGGTAAGCTCTT